GCAGGAAACTTTACCTAAAAAGGACTGTCATATTTTGGTGTTCAGATTCACCATCTCTGCCTCAACAGAGCATGCTTTTTAAAAGTTGACTCTTATAAAGTCCTTTGCAAAATATGTGTTTGGGGATAAAGACGGTGTCTATGAAGATGAGATAACTGGAAGCCTGATGTTCCTGTTGTAGTTTTAAATTTGTGTAGGTAGCATACTCTGGGTGTTTTTGGAGAAGTCAATGATACTTAAGGCTCCTGTGAATTATCTTAAGTTTCCTCTTTTGGAGAATTTCTTTAGTAATACAAAGCATTCAATATTGGGTATTTTGTAATCTGAGGACTAGTTAATTACTCCTGCATTGGGTTTTCATCATCTCTAGCAACTGACTGCTAAAAGACTGCATTCAAATAGTCAAGTATGTGCAGCTGACAGACTTTCTGCAGTTTAGTAAAAGTCCTAAACTTTCTGTTAGGTAATTAGGTAATTCTAATTTAACAGAATTACCTGGTAACATTGTCTTAGTAGAATACAATCTCAGCTGGAGGAGGAAGAATAATTTTTTAAGTAAATATACTCATTAACTTGAAATGCAAATGCCATAGTTTTCTCAGATAGCAATTCATAGGTTGAAATGTTCCATAGCATTTATTCTGAGGAATTCTGTTGTTGCTGAAACTATTGTCTTGAACTTGAAAGTAGACTGATGAAATCATAAATGAAGAGGTATGCCCTGTTTTCTAAAGCACTGAGCCTTAAGTTCAAAGACTTTTACCCTTTGAATACTTTTGGAACTGTGTGCAAGAAACAGAATTCATAAACAGGTATTTTTTTACTTTAAGTAAAATTTTTTTACTTTACTTTAAGTGAATTGGCCAGGCCATTAAAAACGGGGCCTAGTGACTGAATGAAAAAATTATGCAAGTGTGTCTGAGACCAGTTAGAAATACATGACTTCCATTGGCACCCGGCTCCTTTTGCATGTGTGTAACAGCCTGTGAACCTGAACCTACACCTGGGGCAGCTTGGATTTATTGGTTTGTTAGAAACAGTTCAAGGAGACTTCGCTCATCTGTGACTTCATAAAATGAAAATGAAGTCTGCAGAAAACTTGAGGATAGTTGTGGAATACGAGATTTTTATGCAAAGGAGGAGCTAAGCTACAAGGAGTTTTTAATTGACCAAACTGTTTGCAAAAAAAAAAAAACACACCACAAAACAGAGAGTGTGGCAAAACTTCTGGATGCTGTGTTCTTGACATTAGTCCAGCAGAAGTGCCAGCTTTTCTGTTCAAGTATTTTGAAACAGAGTGCAGTGTGATTGTATGAACACTTGCTTTTCTCTGCGCTCCCCTCCATTAAACGTTGTTGCCTGTTAGTAAGAAGGGAACAGGTTCTGCCCCGTCGCCACACTGGACCATGATGGCTTTTTCCGTAAGCACTCGCTCTCCGCTTCCCGGCTGCCGTTTTCTCATCTTACTGAATGTTTTACTAAACATCATTAAAGGGACTACCGGTAACGTTTTGAAGAAATCTTAAATACTGTTCTCACAGGCTTGAACCATGTTCATTTTGGAGGTGAAGCAGCACCCATGAAGTCAAAGCAGTTCATGGGTCTATTCGTCTGTTTTCGTGGCTGGTTTCGTTTTTTTCTATCAGAAATTCCTTGAACTGGTAGATTACTTGTGACTTTAATTCTATGCCTGTTAATATGCACTGTTACTTTTTTAATTCTACCTCATGATATGCTGTTTTTTACAAGAGTATTGTGCTGAAACATTGGACGCTAATTTTTCTGTATAAAGAACTGTTTAAAGTGATGCACATCGTCATATGTGGATACTACCTGCAATGCACAGCAGCAAGTGATGGGTTGACCAGCCCTGCCCGGCTCTGGGAACCAGGGCCACTGAGCAGGAGTGTAGGACTGGTGCTAAAAGTTGACCTCGTTAAGGGGTTTGATATTTTGATGCTTTTGTAGCGTGTCCAGCATATGCATACTAAGATGGGTTCTGCCTATGTATGCTGTATAAATGTTACCTAGTTCTTCTGATGACATTTGTAATGCAATTGAATTAGAATAAGTAGGTAATCTTAGATTTTGGTTGTTTGATTACACCTTTTCAACAATACTTGGAAGTTTTCAATGAAAGTTGCTCTGGTTTAGCTGTGAAGTTCACATAACACTTATTGAAACACTATTGAATAGTTTGATATGCCTTGCAGTTGCATCTTGGTGGAAGGAGTGATTTTCAGTTGTCTTTCTGAGTAATACTACCTTGCCTTATTGAAATAATGAAGTAATTTGTTGTTGAGCTTTGCATTATTTCTAGATAGTAAAAAAAAAAAAGTTTATCCTTCTGTTAAGTTTCAGAAGATGAATTATTAACCTTCCAGAACTATACAAAACTTTCTGAAACAAATACAAGAAAATGTTTCAAACGGTAGGTGAAAGGCTGAACTAACAGCGAAGTATGGTAGTGGCTTATACCAGAGGTTTCTTTAAACTGATTTATTTTTGACCACTCAAGTGTTACATCATTTGATAAATTTTACAGTATTTCTACTGAAGATAGAGCCCTCTATTTGATTGTAAAGCATGCAGTATGTGTTTTAAATGCATGGTTTCATACTCATTAACTTCTCTAGTGAAAGAATTCCTCCATTCACAGCATGGCTGATCAGCAGCAGCAGATAAACTGCGTAACTAAGATCTCTGTAGGAGTGTCAACGTATAGCAGCGGCTACAGGAACCAAACTAGTGTTTGAAGCTAGTAATCCTTTTGTAATAGTCCAGTGACTGTATGTTGTGGGAGTAAATGCATATTCTGAATATTCCATTAGAGGTCAGTCTTTAAATCACTGCAGCACTAAACATTTGTGGGGTGGGGTGGAGAAACTATTGATGGGGCTATACAATGACATTCATGGGTATGTACTTTGTATGAGGGGAGTGTGTGTGTGTGTACTTTAGTATATATACAGCCACAGGGCATCAGTCCACTTGTCAAACGTGGGTAGTTCAGGGAAAAATGTAACCTCCAAGTGGAACTATTGGGGATAGGAAGAAAAGCACAGTGATATAGACAGACACACACAGAGGTTTGTTTGCACTCTTGGAGTCTTGGTAAGGACAGTTTGATTGCCTACTACCAGAATAAGAATGTAAACGTCAGGTTTTTTGGGGGGGGGGGTGTTGATTGATTTTGGTAGGGTTTTTTTGTTTGTTTGTTGGTGTTGTGGTTGTTTTGTTTTGTTGTGTTTTTTTTTTTAATTTGGGTAACACTGATGTGGAGAAGGTTGTGATACCGTAAAACATGGGTCTGTTGCTCTAAGAAATGTGAACTCTTAGGAAAAAGAAATACGCTTGCCAAGTGAAAGCTTTTAAAAAAGTCTAGTTTACAAGATTCTAAAAAGTTGGAATAAAAGGAAGAAGTCAACAGCCCATATTATTTTTGTAATGCAGGAAAAAGAAACTTCTCACTTCCTGATCTTAGTCAAAGGTGCATTTTCTTAAGCACTAAGTATCTTCAGTTAAGGTTTTTAATTACAGAACAAATTGTGCATGTAGAATATTTTGAAATACCTGATATTTCATAGTAAAAATTGTAGCCTTTTAATACAGTATAGAAAGTATCAGAACTGCTCTGAAAATATTGTACCTACAGCCGT